AGAGAGAAACCGTACCAAAAGCTTCAAAGGGATGTTTATTTGGCAACAGTGGAGACGACCTCCGATAAATCTCCGAATCGGAAAATAAAACCTACTGGATCAATCGAAAACCGTACCAAAAGCAATCCAAACATAAGCAATCACAAACATAAGCAAAATACACAGAGAGAGAGAGAGAGAGAGAGAGCGAGAGAGAGAAACCGTACCAAAAGCTTCAAATGGATGTTTATTTGGCAACAGTGGCGACGACCTCCGATAAATCTCTGAATCGGAAAATAAAACCTACCGGATCAATCGGAAACCGTACCAAAAGTAATCCAAACATAAGCAATCACAAACATAAGCAATATACACAGAGAGAGAGAGAGAGAGAGAGAGAAAAACCATACCAAAAGCTTCAAAGGGATTCGAATTGTTCACCAAAKGCATAAAGGCTTCAAAGGGATTTTGATTGAATAATGGATAGAGAGAGAGTGTATTGAGTAGGGATGAGAGTGTCTCGGGAGAAGTGTCTGATAAAGCATAAAACATCATTTAAAATAAATTTGAAATTTGGTGGTGATGGTAGAGAGGTTAAATTCAGTGCATTAACAAGTTGTACATTATGCTTTATAATTTGTCTTTAAGAGTTTTTTGAATTTGTTGCATAAAATCATTGTAACTTATGTTTTAGGAGTTGTAATTAAGACAATGGTGTAAATGCATATTAATGTAGTATAGATAAATTATATGAACAAGTATAAGCATATTATCTGCACCTTCCACTTTTCAAGCCATTTCTCTACTTGCAAATAATACATCAAAACCCAAATGGGTTTATATTAACCAGGTATATCATAGTGCCACTTTTAAATCTTTCAAATTAAACAAGGTTTATTCAAAGTTTCAGGCGAAACCTGTTATTTCATCCTCAATAACATCCAAACTATGATTTCCAATAATAACTCTTATTCTAAACCTTTAAATCACAAAGAAATAAAGATTCCAAACCACGGTAATCTTAACGGATATAATAGTTAAGAGTTATATTACATAACACACATAGAAATGCCACCCTTATATCCAAATGTACACCTCTCCTTGATATGTCACCTTTATCCCGTGGTACACCTCTCCTTGATATGCCACCCTTATCCCATGGTACACCTCTTATTGATATGCCACCCTTTTCCCATGGTGCACCTCTCCTTGATATGCCACCCTTCTTTCCTCATCAAAAATATTTCACAAAATAATTCCATATAGAATAGACCGCAGTCAATGGAATATTATCAGTTCAAAATTATATTTGTCAAAATTCCCATTTCTTGTTAAATGAATCAACTAAATAGTAAGTCGACACATAATCCGGTCAAACCTTGGTCGGATTACTAATTTGGACAACACTAATTATTGTGTCCGATTTACCACTTAGAATAATTTCAAAACAAACCTTGTCCGGATTACTAATCCGGACAACACTATTCATGTTTTGTCTGATTTAACAATCCGGGTAACATGTCTGATTTAAATAAACCGGCCAACCCCATAGTCGTATTCCTACTTCTCCGTTTGAAATACTTGACATAAAATCAAAGTTTATAAATCGCTCATCACATAAACCGGCCAACACTTTGATCGGATTATTCTTAAACCGGAAGAGGCTATGTCCGGTTTACTTTTAAACTGTTTAACCCTTGTCCGGTTTACATGTAAATCGCCTAACACTCATCCGGTTTACATGTAAATCGCTTAACACTCATCCGATTTATCATGGTCCGGATAACATATCCGATTAAGATTATCAATTGACAAATAAGCCTTTCAAACCATAATTTAAACATACAATACACTCATCTGGTTTACATGTAAATCGCTTAACCCTCATCCGGTTTATCTTGGTTCGGATACACACATCCGATTAAGATTATCAATCGACAAATAACCCTTTCAAACCTCAATTTAAACATACAATTTGAAGTGTTTTTTAAAGCAAACTAATCACCTTTATTTGAAAACCACTTCTTGGAAATCAACTTGATCTTCAATCAAGAAATAATCCGGTCAAGTCTCTCTCTCTCTTTAAGTCGCTCAATAAAGGTTTCAAAATAGCAAGAAGAGTGCAATGGAGGCTTAACCTCCCTTTTATACCCTTCCTAAACAGGAAGGAGGCTACTTCATGTGTATCCAACTTCTCATGCATGCAAACAATCACACATATACATGCATAATCATGCGCATAACTAATTATGCACACACACACACATTTTTCAATTATATGCTTTTCATCTTATGCATATAATTTCACATACTAGCATGATCAAGTATAACAATTTATCATACTGTCACATAAATATTCAACAAATAGTCACATTTTAGTTACCTCGGGTGATAACCAGGATCTAGTTATCACAGAGTAGGAGGTTTTGTGAGGGAACCGGCGCTATACATGGAGTTCCACGATTGATTAGACATTTGATTGAAAGATTTGAGGAAAAAAATATGACTTGAAAGTGAGAATACTCGAGTTTTGACAAATTTTGAGAATACGAAAAACAAACGTTTTTAAAACAGAACTAATCAAATATCATAATGAAATACGTTTTTAATAACGAATAACCAAAATTAAGAGAAGTATCCTTTTGGACATCGATCGACTAATCAATTGATTTGATTAGCAGGCTCTTATACCATTTGTTGGAACCTAGATTCTCTTAGTATCAGAAATCACAGATAAATAAATATTAGTGAAGTAAAACTGTGTAACTGGAAAGGTTTAACAATGTATTCAAGAGAAAGTTATGAATGCAATATGAACTTGAATACGTCAGAAGCTTTTATTAGATGAGAAGAATAAACAAAGAAACTCGCAATCAAATTGTATTTTGACAAGGTTTTGCTATAGTCTAAGTCAGCACAATCACGTTACTTGTAACCTGAGGAGGATGCCTCCTTACATACGACTAAGCTAAACAAAATCTCCTAGAATCTTGGCTTGAATCTCTGAGTTCTTGTTTCACATCCTTATCGTTTACGTTCCTTGAAAAATGGAGCGAACTGAGTCATGTCGCCTTGATTCTGTTAGAAGTCTTGCAGAAAAGTCTGAATTGTGCGCGCATACCATGGGAGTAGAAGACTCAGAGGCTCTGCATGTACTATGCAGAGGCTCTGTGTCTGGAGTGTAGCTTTGTATCAAGCCCTTAACCTTTTTGGCTCTTAATGCTTGATCTTCCATGGAATAGAGCGCGGGCTCTGTATATGAGATGCTTGGCTTTTTGAGTTAGAGCTCTGTCTCTTGATGTTTTATGCATAAGAGCTCTTAGTCCAGACTGCTTCAATAGACTAAGTCCTACAGACTAGAGTAAGAGGCTTCTTACTTACACTTTTACAAGATGGGCTCTAACAAGTTTATCTTGCTCCTCTTTCCATTCAAAGCTTACATTTTTTTTTGTCAATCCAGTTAGTGGAGTATCTATAAGAGAAAAATCTTGTATGAACTTTCGGTTGTAATCTGCCAATCCAAGAAAAGTTCTGATTTTGGTTGGGGTTTTAGGTGCTTCCCATATTTCAATAACTTCAATTTTAAGAGGATCCACCTTGATGCCCAATTCCGAAATAACATGGCCCAAAAATTGGACTTCCCGCTGCCAGAACTCATATTTTGACATTTTAGCATACAACTTTTCTTTTTCAGTAATTTCAGAAGCAGTCGTAAATGATATGCATGCTCTTCCTCTAATCAAGAATATATCAGAATATCATCGATAAAGACAATCACAAATTTATCGAGGTACGGACGACAAACTCTATTCATCATGTCCATAAATGTTGCAAGTGCATTTGTAAGTCCAAACGGCATAACCAAAAATTCGTAATGCCTATAACGTGTGCGGAATGCCGTTTTTGACACATCTTCGCTCCGAATTTTCAGCTGATGATAACCAGATCGTAAATCAATCTTAGAAAAGTAAGTGGCCCCTTCCAATTGATCAAATAAATCATCAATTATTGGGAGAGGATACTAATTCTTGATTGCTAATTTATTTAATTCTCTATAATAAATGCACATTCACATTAATCTGTTCTTCTTCTTCACAAATAACACCGGCGCACCCCAAGAAGATGTACTTGGTCCAACAAAACCTTTATCCAACAATTATTTCAGTTGTGACATTAATTCCTTTAACTCAGACATAACTAGCCTGTACAGTGCACGAGCAACTGGCGCCACTCAAGACAATAACTCAATCTGGAATTCTATTGATCGATCAGGAGGTAAACTTGTTAAATCTTCTAGAAATACTTCCAGAAATTCTCTTACAACCGGGATATCCACCATCTTATTCTTTTCTTTTTTTAAATCAACTGCATAATCAAGAAAACTGATAGATCCTTTCTGCACATACTTTCAAGCTTCTAAAATAGAGATAAGGCTGGAATAACGACCCCACCTGTCATGGTAGATTATAACCGGTCCCTTCCCAGATAGATTTATATGGATCATCTTCTCATTGAGACTATATTGCTTGATTTTTAGCCAACCAGTCCTTGCCCATGATTATATCAAACTATCTTAACGGTATAGGAAATAATTGAATAGCTACCTCACACCCTTATACGATTATATAACAATTATCAAAAACATCCTTAACCGACACATCACTATCATTTGTTGTTTCTATTGTCAATACCTCATTTAACACTTTGGGTTCTAAACATGTACAACCAACAAATGATGGTGACACGAAAGAATGGTTTGCACCAGAATCAAATAAAACTTTGGCACATAATGATTTAATGAATAATGTACCTGTCACCATTTCAGGATGTTCTTCAGCCTTGCCTCTCGTCATTTGAAAGGCTCACCCTCTAGCCATTTTGTCACCATGTTTTACTTCCCCATGACCACTAGGAACATTACGATTAACCACTGGTCTGCAACTGAGTAGAATATTCCGAGCATAACCAGATCTTCAGCCCCCAACATAATTAGATCCCCGTTCCCAAACAAAACCAAATCCCAGACCTTTTGCTTGTGGGTAGTAAACATTTACATGTTGCAAAAAGTTACACGTAAAGCATCTTCGTACCATTCGACAATCTTTTGCTATATACCTTGACTCTTGACATTTGTAACAGGTTCGGGTCTAAGTCTTGCATTCTCCTTGGTATATCTTATGACATCATGCACATGCTCTATCCGCAAACCTTGATGTTGGACGATTTACATTTCCAACAAATCTAAATCTATGAAAATCAGTTGTTACTGCCTCTCCTTTCCTTTT